AGGCGGGCGCGTGCGAACGTCTCAAATGGGGCTTTTTGTGGAGCTCCCTATTGGGCCACGAAGCGCTGTACTGGGTGGCGCGCGCGCATGCCAACGTCGCCACTGGGGCCTTCGGTGGAGCTCCCGATGGGGCCACGACTCGCTGTGCACGAACGTCGCCACTTCGGCCTTCGGTGGAGCTCCCCATGGGGCCATGAAGCGCTGGTAGTGGGTGGGGCAGTCGCATGCGAACGCCGCCATTGTGGCAGTCGGTGAGGCTCCCCACTGAGCCACGAAACGTTGTACTGCGTGGGGCGGGCGCATGCGAGCGTCGCCACTGGGGCCTTCGCTGGGGCTCCCAATTGGGCCACGGAGCGCTGTACTGGGTGGGGCGGGCGCATGCGAACATCGCCGCTGTGGCCTTCGGTGGGGCTCCCTTGGGGACCACGACACGCTGTGCAGAGTGGTGCGGACGCATGCGATTGTCGCCATTGGGGCCTTCTGTGGGGCTCCCTATGGGACCACGAAGCGCTGTAGTGGGTGGGGCGACGTATGCGAACGTCGACATTGGGGCAGTCGGTGGAGTCCCTATGGGGGCACGAAGCGCTATACTGGGCAGGGCGGGCGTATGCGACCGTCGCCACTGGCCTTCGATGGGGCTCCCTATGGGGCCACGGAGCGCTGGACTGGGTGGTGCGGGCGCATGCGAACGTCGCCGTTGAGGCCTTCGGTGGAGCTCCCTCTATGTCCACGAAACGCCGTATTCGGGTGGGGCGGGCGCATGCGAACGTCGCCACTGGGGCTTTCGGTGAAGCTCCCCATCGGGCTACGCAGCTTGTGAGGGATGTGCCGAAGGCAAGTGTGGAGCAGAGGCACGCAGGGAAAGAGGGATGAGGATGAGTGGGAGGAGGAGAGAGGAGGGAGGAAAAGGAGGAGGAGGAGGATGAAGAGGATGAGGAAGAGGTGGGCGGGAGGGAGGGAGGGAAGGAGACGTGGGGCGCTGTCTCTTCAAAGCGAGGACCCAACACCGCAGGATGGTTGGGGAATAGTATTACACGTGGCCCCTCACAGCTTAGTATACCTAACCATCCAGTGGAGTTGGGTCCTCGTTTTGAAGGGACAGCGCCCCGTGTCCTCACGTTCCCTTTTGTCGTCCTCCTCGCATCCCTTGCTTCTGCCTTCGGCATGTCCAGGCCGGCACGCCCCTCACACGTTCCGTGGCCCCATAGGGAACTTCACCCAAGGGCCCCAGTGGCTGCGGCCGCATGCATTCACACCCATTTCGATACACCCCTCATACGTTTCCTGACCCCATTGGGAAGTTCCACAGAAGGCCCCAGTGGCTGCGACCGCATGCGCTCGCCACGCGCACACCCCTCACACGTTTCGTGGCCTCCGATGGGGGCTCCACCGAAGGCCCCAGTGGCTGCGGCCGCATGCGTCCGTCACACGCATGTCGGCGCATTCCTTACGCGCCTCGTGACCCCATCAGGGGGGTTCCACCTGAGGCTCCCAGCGGCTGCGGCCGCATGCTTCCGCCACATGTGTTGCGGCAAACTCGTCACACGTTTCGTGGCCCCAGAGTGGGCTCCACCTAAGACCACAGTGGGTGTGGCCACATGCGTCCGCCACATTGATTTCGCCACACCTTTAACATGTTTCGTGGCCCCATAGAGGGAGCTCCACCTGAGGCTCCAGTGAGTGTGCACACAGGCGCCTACCACACCCATTTCGGGACACCATCCACATGCGTCCGCCACACTATTTTTTCTGCCCCCCATCGCACGTTTCGTGGCCTCACAGGAGGCTCCACCTGAGGCCCCCGTGGCTGCGTTCACAAGCGATTCCACGCTCCATTCCGCCCCCCCCCCTCACACGTTTCGCGGTCTTTATAGTAGTCTCCACCTGAGACCACAGTGGTGTGGCCACATGCGTCCGCCACATTGATTTTTGCACCATCTTCACACGTTTCGTGGCCACATTGGGAGCTCCACCTGAGGCCCCAGTGGCTGCGGCCGCATGCGTCCGTCACGTCAAGTTCGGCCCCCCCTTCCGTAGCCATTTTGGCTCAAGTCGACGGGTCAGCAGGTGCGGTCGCATTTGCCAGCCCCCCCAAAAAACACGTGTTTGGTATAGAGACGTCTGCCAAGGGGTGAGGTACATAGATGCACGCTCGTCATGCGAGGTGGACCATCGCTGCAGGATTCGAAGACGTCATTTTGGATGTCCCCGTGGTCGATGGAACGCACAATTTAATGAAGAAGCCGCTGGCGTGCTTGGCGTCGCGAGCCAAGTTCTTCCCAACAAGGAGGCCTCCGCCATATTGTCCAAATAACGGCATCGCCGTGCGCAGTATGATGGAGCAAGGATTTCTCTTCAATGTGATCGCCCGCGTGTTGTCCGACGTCTGCGTGGTCCCCACGGCAGAAGCGGAAACACAGGCGATTGCGACGTTGTCGTTGGAACGGCACGCAGTCGCAAGTTGTGCCCACTCTTTGTCGGGCCAGCGGGGGTCTAGCAAAGAGGCGGCGGACGCCCAGCTATTCTACAGAAAGTTCCGGCAGCCTGCATCGAATTGGAGTGGATTCGGGATGGATTGCGCGAACGCGTTTCCTATCGGCCAGTTGGGCAGTCCTACTTGTTCAATCAATTCAGTAGGTGCGCACCTGAAGCCTGCAGAGCTTCTGGGCAGTTTGCAGTCGCTATCGCTGAACCGCGTTGGTTCTGATGCACTAACAGTTCCCAGACTTCGCTCGCATCGAGATCTGGTCAAAAGCACTAGTAGCCCTTGTGCGTTCGTGGTTGCCAAGGGTCAGCAAGGCTACCGAGCTGCACGGCCTGGTCACGTTGTTCTTTCTCCTGCAACGAATGCGAGAATATCGCCGATCAAGTTTGACAAGTATTCTGCCCCTCATGCGACCCGCCATGCAGATTGTGATCACCCGCTCATGGCTTGCACTTTGTTGGACACGTTGAGTTCTTTGTCGGGCAAGAGGAGCATGACCCTCAGTCAGTGCAGTCATTTGTTCGTGCACATGCGTATAGGAGACGCATGGTCAGGCAGTTATCCAGCCAACGCAGGCTTGCACCAGGGCAGCGCAACGATCTGATAGAGATCTCCAAGCCGTTTGCCATCGGTCATTGCGCAACCGCGCGTGCGAACAGCGTCAGTCAATTGTTGCGTCACCGCCGTCCACAATCTTCAACTTCCCACACGCATTTTTTTGAGGGCGCTGCGTATGACAAAGTTGTTCATCTGCGCCTCCGAGAGAACCAAACGTGTACATCGAGCTGTGCATTGATGGACAGGACCGCCCTCCTCACCCTTGATCAGGTCGGCTTGCACGCGCTGGCAACTTGCGTGTTGGATTCAGGGCTAATTTCTGAGACGTGTTTGATTGGCCATTCGATGGGGGGTTGGGTCCTGCAGCGAGCATCCCCTCTGTTGCAAATGTCCTGCGGATGTGTACGAGGAGGGTTCTTCTTGGATAGTCGCTTGCAGTATCCTCGTTTGATTTCCGACGATGACGTCGGACTTACCCTTAGAAGAAAACTTGACTTGCAGTTCCCTAGGCATGCAGGAGCCTGCTGGCTGCTTGGTTGTCAATCTACAGGATGCTTCAGGATAGCCACGCCTCATACGGAGTTGCACACTTCGGAGCATTTTTTCAATGCAGCTCATGTGACTGTTGCTGATATCATTACGCACTTGGCATTACTTACCGAACTTCCGAATACGAAATGCTTTGGCTCTGCCAGTCACAGCTGGGTTATGATACAATGTTTTGTTGATGCCTCATTGGTGATTCGACCGTACACGAGATCATAGACTTGTGTTTTGGACTCCCTTGTCGTCAGCCCGTTGCCAACAACAGTTTAAAGTGATTGACCCGTGAAATGGAGTTCCGATTGTCACCAGAAGGGACAGCAAGTTTCTATGTTGTACATGTTACATAGGCGTTATCGTTTCGCGATGTCTCAATTTATTATGTACACGAATATGCAAATAGCACCCCTACACGCTTTTGGCATGCAACGCACGTACCCTTCGCTTTCTCGTGCGCCTTAACAGTCGTTGCTTTATTTCCCTCATGGACGGCACATACATTCTTCCACCTGCGTTATCATCCACAGCCGGAGCCATGGCCATGGAGGACGCAATTGGGTTGGCAGCTAAGTATAAGAGTTTCACGGCCAAGTATGGCAAGGCACAGCGCATGTTTCACGTCTGCGTGTAGGCCTGTCACGGTATTTGGTCAGAGTCGTCGGAAAGACAAAAAACATCAAGTTCGGCCCCCTACCCGGGCACATCCTGGCACGTTTCGTGGCCCCATAGGGAGCTCCACATAAAGCCCCAGTTGTTGCGGCCGCATGCGCTCCCGCCACATTCATTTGGCGCACCCACCGCGCTTATATTCACCTCGACGGCGCTCACAACTGCACGTGGTTGGATCCTTCGCCTGGCTAGTTTTCGGGCCGGGGGGGCGCAATCAGCACACATGGTGGGGGGCTCATTTTTCCCAGCCATCCTGTGGTGTTGGGTCCTCGTTTTGAAGGGACATCGCCCCGCGTCCCCATCTGACCCTTTGCCCTCCTCCTGCTGGCCCTTGCCCCTGCCCTCCGCGTGTCCTTATCGGCACATCCCTCACCCGTTTCGCGGCTCCACGCGGAGCTTCGCCGAAGGCCCCAGCGACTGCGGCCGCACGCGTCCGCCACACTAATGTCGGAGTACCCCTCACGTTTCGTGGTCCCACACTTGGCTTCTAAACCGGCGCTGACTTTCCCGCCATCTGCACGGACCGTGCTCCCAAAAGGGGTGTTAGAAGGACCGCCTACAGTGATTGGGGAGATCCGTCGCTGTTTGGCTCATGTGTGCAAGCATCAGCTACTGCTCCAAGTTGACGGTCGTGATATTCCCTGGATGTTTGCGTTCGGCTGTCCTGTCAAGAGGAGGCCCACACGGCTTTTGGGGGCGAGGATTGGGAACTGACGAGGGCAGCCCCCCTGCGGCCGCCGAGCAGGTCCTGCCCGTCGACACCTCCAGCGCCGCTTTTTCGACGTGGCCGCCGCAGTGGACCTACTGCCCGCCGTGCGACATCCAGCTGGCGGGGCGCGAGGATGCTAGAGACGCTTCGGGCGGCGCGGCGGAGGACCCTTCACGAGGAGGATGAGGGGGAGGAGGAGGAGGAGGAGGACCAATTTGTAAAACCAAGCCGCATCAACGCTGTTGCAATAAACCCTCCCTCCAAGCTCCCTCTTCACAGGTCCCTACAACACTTCCTTTTCAGTGATGGAAGTGCCCCATTGGAAGACATCCGCTTGATAATCCCCAATCATGCTAAAACGCGATTCCTGGGATTTCAGCGCCGCGATTCAAAGTGGCTGTTGCAACCTGACAATCTAGGACCCTTCCAGAGAACTGTTCCTGGGATTTCAACGATGCGAATTCTTGAAACTGCTGCAAACAAACAGCACGAATTTCGTGGGGACAAGGCGATAATGGTACTTTCAAGAGGAGCCGCCCTCCATCCTTGCTGCAATATTATGATTATTTCCCATGGTGCTCAGGCGAGAGCCACATTTTGAAAACGACCCGCCCTCCATCCGTGAAACGGTTGCGAACTTTTTCGACGCACGTGGGTAACGCTAAGACGAGAACTACATTTTGAAATGGCCTGCCTTCCATATTTGAAGCCGTTGCGCACTCGTAAGAGGCATGTGTGCGGCGCTAAGGCCATAGGCACATGTAGAACACGGCCCGCCCTGTATCCGGTGCGCGGCGCTAAGGCGAGAGCCACATGGTGAAACGGGCCCGCCCTCCATCTATGAAACCGTTGCACATGTCAATCCTGAGGGTCATAAACGGTGAGGAAGTCTGAAACGCACGGCTCGCCCTACCGACACGTCTGGGGCTGCGACATGGGGGTGTTATGTATAAAGGTCTTAGCCGTGTGGCGGCCGACGCCAAACCTGAGCTAAAAACAAGCTTGAACCTCGAGACTTCAGCTAGAGCTTTGCAGTGCCGCTGTTTCGCTGCTAGAGCTTCAGCTTCGGATTCCGCGTGCGAGCCGAAAGTGCTTTGGGGAGGTCCAGGGAAGTGTGAAGCGCGCAGCGCCAACCACGACCACATAAACACAGTTCAATTTTCATTCCTAAAGAATGATTATAGTTGATCCCCCCTGCCCGGTAACCGTTATATTTTTCAATCTAAGTGCTTCTCTGGGGTCTCGTATCTAGCCTTTTGTAAGGAAAAGTGAGGTGTCACCAAACTGGGGCCCTTGGCCCCAACAACAACGGCTCCCGCCTGATACATCCTCACAATGTATTCCCAAATCGCGCTCTCGCGCGGGACTTCCTCACATTTTAAACAGGAATCGCGCTCTCGCGTGGGACTTCCTCTTAATTTATTCAGGCGCCGCGCCCTCGACACTCTGGAATCAAGCTTTCGTTGTGGATTTCCTCACGATTCATTTGGGAATCGCGCTATCGTTCGGGACTTCCTCGCGATTCATGCAGGACGCACGCTTCAGCAATCCGCCTCCTCGACCTGGCCGCCTGGGCCCGCCTTTCCGACCCGCCCGTTCTGGTCTACTCGACCGATTTGCCCGTTTGGTTCTGCCACGTGTTTTCTGCTCCTAGCCCCCTGCTACTTTCTTTCGTGCTCCCTCCTCCTCCTCCCTCCCCCTTGGCCCTTCCTTCCATCCGTCTTGTCTCTCCCTGCCTTGAGGGCTGCACGAAATACACGTTGCAGGTAAGAAGGATCTTCCCCGAAGGGGTCACGATCGAAGCCCAAGAGGGCGGGTATCGAGGGTTTGGGATATACGCGTTGACTGGCACGCGAGCAGGTCAGAGCGAACAATGTTTAACTGGTTGTTGTTGTCGTGGTGGTGGTGGTGATGGTCTATGTTGTTGTTGCTGCTGCTGTTGCTGTTGTGGAACTCTCACTACTGAAGAATAAGCATTGTTGATTCCCCCGTCCGGTGCACACTGTATTTTTCAATGGACGTGCCCCTCCCGGCGCTCGCACCCTGTTTTTTTCAGGGAAAGTCTTCCTCCTCAAACTGTGCCCCTGGCCCCCGGTTTACAACAACAGCGGCTCCCGCTTGATATTTCCTCGGAATTTGCTCCGGTCCCCCGCTCCCGCTTGAGACTTCCTTGCAATTTACTAAAGAATCGCGCTCCCGCCTGAGACTTCGTCGCAATTTACTCAGGCGCCGCGCTCTTGCCATTCAGGAATCGCGCGTTCGCTGGGAACGTCTTCAAATTCACTAAGGAATCGCTCTCTCGCTGGAAACTTCCTGGCTAGTCACGCAGAACTTACGATCGATCCGCCCGCTCGGCCCGCCCGTCAAGGTCATGCCTTTCGTGCCCCATGCTCGCTCGCGCCCTTTGTATCTCATTGCTGCCCTTCGTGGCCCCTCCTCTTGTGGCCCAGTCGCTTCGCTTCGTGGCCCCGATGCTGCCCTCAGTGGCCCCTCGCTGCCCTTTGTGGCCCATATATACGCCCTCCGTGGCCCCCAGTCGCTCGTGCCCTCAGTGGCCCCATTGCTGCCCTCCGTGGCCCCCTCGCTGCCCTTTGTGGCCCATATATACGCCCTTCGTGGCCCCCAGTCGCTTGTGCCCTCAGTGGCCCCATTGCTGCCCTTCGTGGCCCCAGTGTAGCCCCGTGTGCCTCCCCCCCGCTGCCTTTTGTGGCCCCCTCGTTGCCCTGTGTGGCCCATATATTTGCCCTTCGTGGCCCCCAGTCGCTCGTGCCCTCAGTTGCCCCATTACTGACCTTCGTGGTCCCGTCGTAGGCCTTTTGTGTCGCATATAGACGCCCGTCGTGGCCCACAGTCGCTTGTGCCCTCAGTGGCCCCATTGCTGCCCTTCGTGGCCCCGCTACTGCCCTCTGTGGCCCCCTCGCTTCCTTTTGTGGCCCATATATGCGCCCTTCGTGGCCCCGAGTCGCTCGTGCCCTCAGTGGCCCCATTGCTGCCCTTCGTGGCCCCAGTGTAGCCCTTCGTGCCCCCCCCCCGCTGCCTTCAGTGGCCCCCTCGTTGCCCTTCGTGGCCCATATGTTTGCCCTTCGTGGTCCCCAGTCGCTCGTGCCGTCAGTGGCCCCATTGCTGCCGTTCGTGGCCCCAGCCTAGCCCTTTGTGCCCCCCCCCCCCCCCGCTGCCCATTGTGGCCCCGCTGCTGCCCTCAGTGGCCCAGACGGTGCCCTTCGTGGCCCCCCCGTCGCTTGCGCCCTCAGTGGCCTCTTGCTGCCGTTCGTGGCCTCAGCGTGGCCCTTCGTGGCCCCAGCGTAGCCCTTCGTGGCCCCCTTGCTGCCCTCTGTGGCCCCGTTACCATTGCTGCCCTTCGTGGCCCCGCTGCTGCCCTCAGTGGCCCCCATCGCTGCTCATTATGGCCCCGTTGCTGCCCTTGGTGGCCCATGTATACGCCCTGCGTGGTCCCCGCTCGCTCGTGCCGTCAATGGCCCCATTGCTGCCCTTCGTGGCCCGGCTTCTGCCCTCAGTGGCCCCCTCGCTGCCTCTTTGTGGCCCACAAATATACGCCCTTCGTGGCCCCCCAGTCGCTCGTGCCGTCAATGGCCCCATTGCTGCCCTTCGTGGCCCCAGTGTAGCCCCGTGTGCCGCCCCCCCCCGGTGCCTTCAGTGGCCCTCTCGTTGCCCTTTGTGGTCCCATATGCTCCCTTCGTTGCCCCAAGTGGCTTGTGCCCTCTGTGGCCCCATTGCTGCCCTTTGTGGCCCCAGCGTAGCCCCGTGTGCCCCGCCCGCCGCCCATTGTGGCCCCGCTGCTGCCCTCAGTGGCTTAGACGCTGCTTTTTGTGGCCCCATAGATGCCCTTCGTGGCCTCCCGTCGCTTACGCCCTCAGTGGCCCCGTTGCCGCCCTTCGTGGCCCCAGCGTAGCCCTTCGTGGCCCCCTTGTCCTCTGTGGCCCCGTCAATGCCCTCAGTGGCCCCGTCGCTGCCTTTTGTGGCCCCCTCGCTGCCCTCAGTGGCCCCCGTCGCTGCCCATTGTGGCCCAGCTTCCCTTTGTGGCCCCGCTGCTGTCCTCAGTGGCCCAGACGCTGCCCTTCGTGGCCCCCCGTCGCTTGCGCCCTCAGTGGCCCCGTTGCCGCCCTTCGTGGCCCCAGCGTAGCCCTTCGTGGCCCCCTTGCTGCCCTCTGTGGCCCTGTTAGTGCCCTCAGTGGCCCCATTGCTGCCCTTCGTGGCCCCGCTGCTGCCCTCAGTGGTCCCCATCGCTGCCCATTGTGGCCCCGTTGCTGCCCTTGGTGGCCTATGTATACGCCCCTCGTGGCCCCCGCTCGCTCGTGCGTGATGGTGATGATGGCGGTGATGATCATGATGGTGAGGCGGAGGACGGTAAGGAGACAAAGAAGGCAGGAGGAGGATGGCAGGCGGGATACGGATGATGAGGACGGCGTATCGAGGCCCATTCGGAGTCGACGGCATC